GCGCGTGACACTTTTCGGAGAATGGGCGCACGGCGTCTGCGGTCGCGGCCGGCCAAGAGAAGCGCCTGCTCTCCCGTGCAGCTCAGCCAGCGAATCCGACGAGCCACTTGTAGCTCTCAGGGGGCAGCGCTACGTAAAAGATATGCCGCTCGTTCGCGATCGGTTCGACTGCCATCTGACAGGCGTGCAGCCAAGCCGCCAGATGTGTGCGCAGGTGGCACGTCGGACGGGAAGCTGATCTGGCCCATTGCCTTCACAACGCAGTGCACGAGAACCGCAAATCCCCTCTTGTAAAGTTCGAGCGTGGCCGACACCTCGTCGCGCGGCTGTAGAGAGGCACTGGCTCTTAAAGCTCGGAAGCAAACGGACGGCACAAACGTATTATACCCCAGACCTCCGACGACTCGATGGCTTCGGGTCCCCAGCCGCCCGACCCATCGACCCCTTCCCCAGGATCGGCGCCTTTCATCCTGAACCGTGGTTGGACTGTCGCCCGGCTTGGAGACGGCCTTCGGAGGCCATGCACTGCCACCAAAACTCGGGCGCGAGGACTTCGAGTCTCTGGTCTGATGGGATGACGCAACCTCCGCAGGCGAGTGCCGCTTTGTGCCGCTCGGCTGTCGGAACCCCAAGCGTCAGTTGCGCGCACGGGCCGCGTCAGCAGGGCGGGAAGCATGGCGCCGCCTGCGCGGTGCTGGAGTCGCCGCCCATTGCCTCGGGACGCCGCACAACGACCCTCCACGGCAGGGCCGCGTCGTGACGACGTCGACGTTGGCTTCTGAAGCCGCGCGGATCGCTTCGCCTGGAACGACCGCGGCTTTCCGATGGCGCGGATCGTCCGATGTCGGCTGACTCCAGGCCACTGGCGCTGGCGGCGTCCAACCTTGAACGCCCGTGCCAGGGTCGCCGCCGTGTCAACGCGGTGCGAACCTAAGTATCTTCTAAGGCGCCCCCCCTCAAGACAGCATGCTTTTGCCACCACATGCTGCCAGATGTATGCCCATCCTCGCTCCTGTACTACAACATCGGAGATCTTAGTGACCCTTCGGAAGCGTGACCCAGGATTTCCAGAATATGTCGGGGAGGTTCCGAAGTTGGTCGCTAGACTGGCTGCAGAAACCAACGAACGTGACTCGGAAGACGAGCCCCCAATCTTACCCAAAATGGGCCTAGATGGGCCAAGCAAGCCTCCAAGACCAAGCAAGAAGACCCAAGGTGGTGCAACAATTGCCTCCAGAATATCCCTAAGAAGCCACAGCAGGACCCGAGATGACCAAAGGATGGCTCCAATCGGGCCGGGCGAAAGGGGGGGATAGCAAAGGTGGGGGGGAGAATCAGCTCACGTAGCCGATTTTCCCGGCGCCTCCCGGCGCCGGAGGCGGCTATGTACCGAGGAATGGGCACTCGGTGGGGCTGAAACCAGCTGCATGCAGCAGATTTCGTAACCCCCCCTTTCCCAATCCCCCCCCTTTCGTCTGGCCCGCTCCAAGGGGGGGCCCTGGGAGGCCTCCCCTCCCCTCCCCCCCAACGATCCCTCCCTTGCAGGGCGGCCTCCGCGCCCGCCCGACCCTCCGAAGGCCCTGGCCTGCAGGTTCGGCTCGAAGGCGTGCTCGAAGCCGGGGCACTGCAGGTACCACAGCACCCGCCTGGGCAGCAGGGGGCCGCCGCCGCCGCCGCGATCGCTCCGCCGCCGCCGCTCCGTCGCCGCCGCAGCCTCTCGGCGCGGGCTTCAGGCCCTGCGGGGGCTGCGCACGGGCAGCCCGCCGAGGTGGGCCCGCCTGGCCCCCACGGGCCCCGCGCGGGGGTGGCAGCGAGCCGCCAAGCGCCGCCGACGCGCCCGCTCGCCGCCGCCGCCCGTCGCCCAGGCCTTCTCCTCCTCCTCCTCCTCCTCCTCCTCCTCCTCCTCCTCCTCCTCCTCCTCCCCCTCCCCCTCCTCGGATGCCAGGCCTGGGAGCTGCCGTGCGCAGGGAGCCCTGCGGGGATGCCGGCCGTCCCCAAAAAACAAAAGCGCGGTGACAGACCGCGCGGCGGCGGTCACCTCGGAACTCCCGAAGAGCTCACCCGCACGGTTCCTTTCGCCGCACGGTCTTGGGGCCTCCACTGAATCGCCGTCTTTCGTGGTCGGAAAACATATCTGTATCCGCGACCTCGCGGGCCGGGCCCATGGGCCGCGACCCCGCGGATACCGGGCGTGTGTTCCCGGATGTCCAGCGCGGGACGTTTCTATGCGACCGCGTATCCGCGGGATCGCGCCCCGGAATCCAGACCGCAAGGGCGTGGATATTGATACGCTCGCCGCCCGTAAGTTTTTGGGCTCCCGATGGCCCCCACCGGCCCGCATGGGGGCACTCCGGGGCGGCCTCGGCACCCCGCGTAGGGCGCCGGGCGCCCGGCGCCCCAGGGGGGCCCGCGCAGGCGGGAGTTCGGAACGACGAAGGGCCATGAAGCCCGCGTGTCGCGGTGGCGGCCCCGGCGACACGATATGCCTTGCGAGTGGACAGCGTGTCGATCCGCTCCGCGGGGCGGGTCGGATCGCCAGGAAATCGAGCTCGAATTGGATCGATCGAGCTGGCAGGAATCTCAAGAATCCCCTGTGGGTTTCCAGGCATGGGAGATTCTCCTCCCTGTATAATGCCTCCCGGAAGGCCCCAAACTGGGAATTTGACCCCCCCCCCGGCCAGGCAAGAACACGCTATGGGGCTCCCCGCGTGACCTTTGGGTTCAAGGGGGGATTCTCGCATGACTTCTTCGGCCCGAAAGGGCCCCAATGGACGGACCAAGAGGGCCAAAAAGGTCTGCAAAATGGCCAATGAGAGCACGGAATCGTCGAATGGTCGCTCCCAGACGCCCAAGATGGCCGCAAGACGGCCGGAACAACGCCCAAGACGTCCCAAGATGTGTCCAAGGGTTTTCCCAACAAGGCCATGATTTTCCCATGGGGTTGTCACTGTGTGCCGATTATCCACTGTTCGAGCTTCCGACGCTCCAAAGCGTCCCAAGAGGCCGCCAAAAAGTAGACCCAGAGGCTCTGAAGACGGCCCCGAGACAGCCCAGGAGGGCCCTAAGACAGCCAACGAGACGTCCTAGACGCCCCGATAGGGCTCCAAGGAGTGCAACATGATTTCCGCATCCCGCGCCCGAAAAGGATCCCTTACACCGCTGGCAAGCGCCTCAAAGGCCCACAAGAAAGCCAAAGAAGCCGCCAAGAGGCCCACACGAACCCCAAAACCAGCTCTAAAAAGGCTTCGAAACTGCGTCCACAAGGCCAACCGAAGCTCCCCAACAGACCCCAGCAAGCATCCAAAAGGCTCTGACCCACCAGCACGGGCGCGGTGGCTGCATGAACCACATGTTTCTTGTTCGCGTCCCTGGCATGGTGGTCAGCGCTCACGGCCCAGGGAACAGTGGCGGGTTGCCTTCCTCCCAGCCACATCTCCCCTCCCTTGCCTCCCCTCCCCCTTTTCCTCCTCCCCCTCCTCCTCCTCTTCCTCCTCCTCCTCCTCCTCCTCCTCCTCCTCCTCCTCCTCCACCTCCTCCTCCTCCTCCTCCCTCCACCTCCTCCTCCTCCTCCTTTTCATCGTCGTCGTCTTCCTTCCTCCATCTCCCATCCTTCCTGCTCCCATTGCGTAGCGCGATTGCACATTCGATCCCGCAAAAGGTCACCCCAATGGGCATCATTTACACAATTTACATTTCATAGCGTTTTATGATTCGGCGTGCGCGACGTGGTCCCCTTATCGCGTTAGCACGTGCCGCTGCATTGATACGCTTGCCCACTACACGCCGTGAGGCCGAGGTTTTCGTGATCTGCGCATACCACGCGCAAGTGCTTCGCCTTCACATGACGTTCGACGTGCACCTTCTTCAGATGCTTCGTGTCCGAGACAGCCACCCTGCGCGCCGAGCGCGTCAGCGATTTCGTTTCCGCCTTTCCTTTTCGTTTGCGACTGCTTGCCTCGCGCGCGGCCGCGTCGCGTTCCGCCGCGCATTTCTGACAGAGCCCCCATCCAGCTGCGCTGCGTTTTCCGCCGATGGCCGTGCACCAAGCGCCGGGCACTTGTCGCTCGAACTCCGTACTGCGCCGACGCCCTCGCCCCATTTTGCACCGCCGCTGCGCGACGTCTGCTTCGCCTTGACATGGCTGCACCTCGCGCAATACATCGTCCGAATCGTTTTCCGCCCCACCTTCGCTTTCTCCCTCGCCCACCCGACTGCCATCATGCTGCGTCGGTTCCTCCTCTTCCGCTTTGGCGGCCCATGCTTTGCAAGTTTGGCACTTCTTAACACCGATCTGTCGCGCGTTCTTTACAGAACGCCAGTCTGTCCTTTCCGATGGAACTCATACCTCGCGAACGCCTCTACAAGCAGGCTCCGCCGGCACCGCTCGCACTCGTTTCGCGACATCTCCCCAAAAAACCTGCAAATGCTTCCTCGCGCCAGCCATTTCGCCTCCGTTGCGCGGCTGCCTGTCACAATGCCGAAAGGTCACCCTTCCCCCCCTTTTGTCGCACGCGGGGGCTAGCCACGCAACTAAACATCCAACTGACGGGCCGTCCCCTCTCGAGGTCCGCCACCACTGCGCCCGCGGTCCGCCCTTGCGCGGCGCGCGGCGCCAGTGCCACCGCTGCGCGCGCTCCACACTCAGCGCCGGCTTCCTGGCCCCCTTCGGTGCCCGCCCAAGAACCACTGGCGCCCTTTCGAAGGGGATGTAAGGCACGGTCCAAGCCCTCAGCCTGGAAGACGCCACCTGCTCGCTTCAAAATCAAAAGCTATGGACCTCGGCAAACGCAACAGAACCACCTCTTCGCCATCTCCGGCGCATTGGCCCTCGCGCAGCACCCACCCGCGAATCGTTGCCGCGCGCCCTCGCAAGAGCTGCTTGCTCGACAGATCCAGGCGGCCCTCAAGAGCAGCGGGCGCGCCCTCCGCCGGCGGGGGCCACCCCGGTAAACTGGCGCACCCCCTCAGCGCGTGCTTCCCGACCGGCACTGTTGCGATGAATGTCACGGCGGGTGGTTCCTTGGCAGGGGCTGCGCCAGCAGTCCGACGCGGTGGTGCTGCTGATGCAGGAGCACCATGCCATGGACCGCGATAGGCTGGCCACCTTGCAGCACACCATGCTGGATCACGGCCACGCGGGCGCGTGGGCTGCGGCCGCCGAGGGCGCCCATGGGAGCGACGGCGCCTTTGGCTGCGCGGCGGTCCTGGCGCGAACCAACGTCGTCGTCACCAGCCCTCCTTTCCTGGACAGCCCTGTGTTGGCTGTGGCGCGCCTGGTGGCGGCTCGCGCGCACAAGGGAGTGGCTGGTGGCCTGGTTGCGGCGTCGCCTTGCCTGCGCGACAGCGTCGGTTGGAACGAGGAGAACCAGCGGCTCGCGATGGCCCTCGTGCGCTACCTGGCCAGGCTCAACGCGGCGGGGCTGGACTGGGCCGCGGGCGGCGACTTCAACATGTCGGCGGAGAGGTTTCCCACGCAGCCGGCGCGCGATGCGCGAGGGCTGTGGGCCGCGCCCGACACGGCTACCCGCGGGCCGCGGGTCGGAGCGCGGCCCGCCATCGACTACTTCCTGTTCGCGGCCAACCTGGCGACGCGCACGGGCATGCCGCAGGTGTTCGAGGAGGGCACCACTTCGCCGCATCTCCCCGTGGGGGTCACGCGTCTGTCCCAGGACCTCCCCATGAAGGTCCGCGCGGCCCGAATGCCGAGGCCCATCGGGCCTGTCCCGCCCATAGGCTGCAGCCGCGGGGTGGAGGACTGGCGGCGGCAGCTGGCCAAGGTGAGGCGCCGCCGAGAGCGCCGCGCAGCGCTGCCCGTCGCCGAGGACGCGGTGGTGGACACCATCGAGCAAGTGCTGCTTGACCGCTACGAACACGTGGAAGCGGACAGGGCCAAATACATCGGCAGGTCTGGTGCTCTGGAGACGGCCCTCGTCGCTGTTGCGTGGAGGCCCCCTCGGCGCCGTGCCCAGCTTGGGCGGCGTGCGCCGGCGTGCCGCGCCGCGTCGAGGCGGGCTCGCCACGCGATGGGAGCCGGGGCGTATGCCGCCAAGGCGCTACGTCAACTCCATGGGGCCGGCCTGCTGCGCGCGCTCGACAGCAGGCAACGCGGCAAGCTGGCGGAGTTCCTGCTGGAAGCGGGCGCATACATGCGGAAGATTGTCGCGCAGCACCGCGGAACGCTCTCGCTGCCGCCGCACTGGGCGCAGGACTTCTTCCAGCAGCAGCTGCGCGTCCTCAAGTCGGAGGGCCTCGTGGAGCAGGCTGTCCGCGTGGTGGAGCACGCCAACGGCCCGACGGCCTGTGCGAGGAGGCGCTCAAGAGCCAGCAGCAGGCATGGGGCAAGTGGGCGAATGATGCCTTCAGACGGGGCGCTGGCCAAACACGCCGTTATTCCAAGGTGAGGGACTTGCAGGAAGTCGTCTCCACCTGGCATGGCGAGCAGCAGGAGGCGAGCCCCCAACGCGTGTGCGACCGCGAGATGAAGCCGCGGGAGAAGGCGCGGCGGTGCCATGGGTTGCAGCCGTCGAGCGTGCCTGGGGACGTCGGCGAGCGGGAGTCGATGCCTGAGCTCACGGTCGAGCAGCTGAGGCAGGCGGCGCTCTCATTCCCATGCAGCACGGCCATAGTGCCCGCCCAGATCGGCATGCGATTCCTCAACTTCCTATCGGACGAGGGCATGTGCGCGTGCGCGCAGCTTTTCATGCGCATAGAGAGGCTCGGAACCTGGCCTGAGGGACGCATCTGGCACGCCATATGTCGGCTGCCGAAGCCGTCGGGAGGATGCCGACTCGTCCCCCTCATGCACTCATTGGTGAGGCGGTGGTCGCGGGCGCGCGCTGCGGTCTCCTGGGGCTGGCTACGGCGGCAGACCAGCGTGAACATCTGGGGGCTGGGAGCTGGCATGTCATCGTCCGACGCGGCGTTCGACCTGAACCTGGAGACGGAGGTCGCGGTCAACCTCCAGGTGCAGGTCATCACGGCCCCCATGGGCGCCTGGAAGTTCTTCGAGGCGGTGGTCCCCGCAGCCCTGCTACAGGAGGCGCGGCAGCTGCGCATGCAGATGCCCCTGGCATGGCTGCTCATCGAGCTGCGCCGCCAGCCGCGTGGGCGGCAGGCGTTCGGCTCGGTCTCGTACGAAGCGGTTTCGGTCCAGGGGGGGCTTGCGGGATGCGCGCATGCGTGCGCGCTGGTGTCCGTGCTGCTGCATCGCCTGCTGGAACGGACCCGCGGCATGGGTGTCGCGCCGAGGGCGCTGGTGAGCGACGTCACGATGCAATGGGTCGGCGAGGCGGGCCGCCGCACCCAGTCGCCGTGGGCCGCCGTCGCCCACATTCGTGGGGAGGCCAAGCCGCTTGGCATCATCGCACAGCCAAGTAGGGCTTCCTGACGTCCTCGATCGGCATCACGCGCGTTAGTCAGCGGTACGCGGGCTCGAGGGGCCTGCAGCGGCCGCGCTGGGCGCGGAACTTGGGCCACGACCTCGGAGGCCGAAGGATCGAGAGGCGGCAGACCAGGGTCCGCCCGCAGGCGCCGGCGAGGCGCCGAGGGCGGATCGCCGTGCTGCAGCGCGCCGCAGGACTCAAGATGGCCTGCCGGTGGCGCGCAGGGCTGCCACCCAGCGCGGGCCGCGGGTCGCGGGGGCCACGGACGACAAGCCGAAGCGACTGAGGGCCGAGGCCAGTCGGCTAGTGGGCGCCGCCCAGGACCTGCGGGGCCCACGGTGTACCTGGCACCCAGCACTGCGCCACCTACAACGTACAACCCCATCTACGAAGCAACGGTGGCGCTCGTGGTCATGCACGCGAGCTGAATCTGGGAGCAGCGCACCTCCCTGGGTCGGCTGCATAGGGCGCGGGCCACCATCACGGAGAAGCTGAGTGGGCGACCGTCGCGGGCGTCGGCCAGGGGTCCAATATCATCTGCGACCCCCGCGCCATGGAGGATTGGATGGTACATGTGGCCCAGCGCAGGACTGGTCACAGACGAGGAGCAGCAGATTCAAGTTCTCACGGCATCGCCGTCGGACCTCAAGGCTTTCCTGCTCGTGGGGGCGAGCCGCTGGCAGGGGCGACAGATCATGGGGCACTTTGCGGAGCTGCAGCCAGCAGGGCAGCTCCGGCTTCGCGCGCTGCCCATGCGCAGGCGGCAAGGGCGCGGAGCTTCCAGAAGGACCAGCCGCCACCAGCCTGGCGATTCACTGGACGGGCACGCCGTGGACCAGGCAGCGGTTCCACGAGGTGCTCCCGGCGGACTCGGCGACGCGCCTGGCCCGCGGCGACGAGGCCGACACCCCTGGGCGCAGGCCCCACGGGGGCGAGGCACTGCTCATGGCGCGGCATGGCGAAGAAGAGCGGGCGGTCTTGCCCGAGAAGTTCCAGGAGGTCTGAACGAGCATGCGCGTCAAAGGGTTGCAGCATGGGCAAGACAGGCCAGACTTCGGAGGTTTTGAGCACGAGGTCGGGCTACCAATGCTGCCGCCTCCCGAGGCGCCAGCGTCGCGCGTGGCCGACGTCAGGCTGCGGGGTGAGTGGCAGGGGCGAGCAGCGGAGCGGCGCGGTAAATTTGCGTTCACAGATGGCCCGAGTTTCGCCAGCAGCATGCCCGAGATGAGACGCCGCGGGCGGTCGGTGGTGCAGTTGGGAGCCAACGGGGCCCCAGGGCGCGCGGTCTTCGGCGCGCTGCCTGGCCCGCTCCAGACAGCGGGGCGCGCCGAGAGGCACTCCGTCCTGCAGGCGGTGCGTCTCCTCGGGTCGCAGGTGGAGTTCACCGCCGCGCACTTGCCGGCGCTGGCGCGCGAGGCGAGGTAGCGGGGCGAGCAGCTCGAGCAGGCGAGGGCCGCGCACGCCACTGCGAAGCGGAGTCTGCGCCGCCAGCCACCGCCCCAGCGCGTTCTGGATCCCAGCCCACAAGAACGCACAGGGCGGCCTGGAGCTGGACATCCACCCGATGCTCTACACGGGCAACACGCGGGCGGACTTTTTCGCCAATCAAGGGACGACGCAGCACGCGGTGGCCCAGGTCTACATCGACGCACGCGGGATCGAGGCGCAACGCTACAAGAAGGTGGCGGCCTACATCGGTTTGGCCACGCAGCGGTGCCCACAGCTCGGCGGGCGGCAGCAGCCTGCAAGGGCGGCGCCGCCGCCACCTGCAAGACCATGCGCGCGAGTGACGGTGGTGGAGCACGCGCTGGTGCACGCGGGCGGCCGCCGTGGGCTGCTGCGCAGGGAGTGCGTTAAGTGACCACGGGCGCGGTCTGGCGCGGCGCTGCAAAAGTTCCTCGGGGCAGCTTGCGAGGGGTTGGAGCTGGCTCGCATCAAGGCAGGTGCTGAAATCCTGCACTTCGGGGCCTAGGTGCGCGCGGTCTCGGGGACGGGGGCGCGGGCCGCCGCGGTGATGCGGGAAGCCGACGGCGACGAGGGCGACTTGCCGCTCGTCAACGGCAACCCATGGGACTGCGCCGACGAGGACATGCTGGTGCGCGAGGGCCATCGGCTGCGGCGCGCTGGCCCCGCCGTCTTCTGCGAGGTCTGCGCAGCATGGGTGCAGGCGCGGGCTGCGCGTGGCCTGCAGCGCCCCTTCCGTGGCCCGCCGCAGAGCAGGGCCCCCTGCGCGCGCACCTACATCTTCAACCTGCGCGCGGTCAAGCGGCCGAGGGCGATGGATCCCAAGACTGGCAGGCCGTTTGGGGTGCAGGCGGATCCACCGCAGAGCCCCATGCCATGGAGTCAGATAGCGAGGATAAGGGGGCAGCGGCAGCGCGGTCAGCGGCCCCCACCAGCACGGCAGCAGTGTGGAAGCTGGCTCTGAAGCAGGCCTGGGGTTCGCCCCCGCCGAGGGCACTGCGACCCCTAGCCATGCGGGACGAGGTGGGACGGCAGCGAACCCCACTCGAAATCTGTGCATGGAGGCCATGCTGGAAGCAGCGTTACCCACCGACGCCGGCGCAGCGGTTGGCAGGTCGACTGCGGTGCCCGCGGGACCCCCGAGCGCCGCGGGCCCCTGGGCCGCCGTCGGCGCGAGGCTGGGAGAGCGCGCTGTTGCTGGTGGGGCAACGTGGGCAGGTCTGCAGTCGACCGAAGGGGCGCCGCGTTGGCCTGGGCGGGGCGGGGAGCAGCTCTCTGAGCACGCTATACCCCCGCCCCCGAGTCAAGGGCTGCCACGCGACCGCTCCGCGGGGAGACGCCAGGCTCGGATGGTGGAGACGGACAGCTGCCAGTCTGCACAGATACCGACTCAGGTGGCCAGAGTCGTGCATTCCTCTGGACTGAGTCCCCAGGTGACCAGGGACGTGCATCCCCCTGGACTGGGTGAGCGGCTCACGCAGGGCAGCTGCGGGAGTGGCGTCGGCGTGCCGCGGGAGCTGTTCGGCACGGCGGGCGCTGCGGTCGCTACTGGTATACGTGGGGCGCCAGTGCTGAGGGTCGAACCGCGCGGGTGATCGGCCTAATTAACCTCGCGCGAACCGCTGATGACCCCAAAGCGGCTCTCGCCCAGGCCCCATGCCGTCGCGGAGCAGAAGGCTGCAGCGGTTAGAACGCAAGTCCCAGCCTCCAGGTGCACCCAAGGGGTAAACAGTGCGAGGGGCTGGGCGCAGTCGCCGAGCGCTCCGCCAACACCTGCCACCCGGCGCACCCGTGCGGCAAACAGCGAGAAGGGCAGGGCAGCGTCGCCATGTGTTGCTGAACCTGGTTCGGAAGAGAGCCTGGGGGTTGTCCCCGCCGAGGCACTGCGACCCCTAGCCATGCGGGACGAGGTGGGACGGCCGCCAACCACACTCGAAGTCGGCGCATGGAGGCCATGCGAGAAGCCGCGTTCTCTACCGAGTCTAGTGCAATGGTTGACTTGCTGGCTGCGGTGCCCGCGGGCCCTCCGAGCGCCGCGGGCCCTCAGGCCGCCGTCGGCAAACGGCTGGGAGAGCGCGCCGTGGCTGGCGGGGCAACGCGGGCGGGCCCGCAGTCGACTGGAGGGGCGGCGTGTTGGTCTTGAGCGGAGGCTGGCGAGATGGGCACGCTGGTGGTTGGAGGCCACCCTCACCGAGGAGCAGCTGGCGGTCGGCTGAAGGCAGCACTGCATGCCGCACGTCGAGGCAGTGCTGGGCCAGCCGCGGTGGCGCACGCTCGTGCGCGTCATGGGGCGCACCGCGGCGCAGCTGGCCAGCGAGTGGTGCGACAGGGCCTGGGCGCGTGGCGGGGTCAACCGGAGGGCGTTCAGGCGATACCACAGCGGCCTCTCGTTCTCCCAGGCGTGGATGGCCGACTCCGTGCGGAAAGACGAGACGGTGGCCCTGCGCCAGCGGCTGCCCGACCCCTGGCGGCCGCCAAGCGCACCAAGGATCAACCGGGCGCCTGGCGAGCGCAGGAGGGCGCAGGCGCAGGGCGCGGAGGGGGCCGCAGCGGGCGCGGAGCCCAGCAGCCAGCGCGACGGCCACCACGGGGGGGGGGGCGGCCGCTGGTCAGCCTGGCGCCGCTGGCGCGGCAGCGCTGCCGCCCGTGGGCGCCGCGGCGCCCAGCAGCGAGGAGGATGGGGCTGGGCCCGTCCCGCGGTCCTCCTCGCCGCCACCGCCGAGCCCCTCGCCCCCGCTCAGCGGCGAGGAGGTCTAGGCGGTGGCTCCCGCAGCTGCGGAGCGGCCCACCAGCGGCCGTGGCGCGGTGGCGGCGCGGCGCGGCCCACCCGTGGCCGCGGCGCAAGCGGCGGCGCAGGCGGCGGAATGGCGAGGTGCCGTTCGGCCTCTTCTTCGCCCTCGCCTGCGGGTCTGCGAGGCGCGGCTCGCCTGCCGGGCTGCGCTTCCACGCTCCTGATTTCCTGACCTCCTCCTCTTCTTCCTCCCTCACTCTTGGGAAGACAAAGATATACCGATTCGCCACTACGTGGACCTCTCCCAGCATGCGTTCTGACCGCGAATCCAGCCATGGCGACGACGGCATCTCAGGAGGCCCAAATGGACGAAAACGAGAAGGGGTATCAGTATCAGTCCCTGTCGCTCCTCTGAAACTGGAGGCATGCTGGGCCGTTTCGACCTGCCGCGCCCGCCTTGCCGTGTCGTCGCGCGCCGCCTCTACGCAGGGGCGCGCAGCACCGGAGAACGTGTGCGGGACCCCCAGGATGGACACCTCAGCGACGAGGAGAAAGGGATCTTACAGTCATCGTGCTACCAAATGGAAGGCAAGGAACGAAGAGGCCTTCCTGGCCACGGCGAGCCTCGGCCACGAATAGGTTCGCCGACCTAGATCTAAGGAATGACGACGACCAGAGCCCCCCGTGATCCCAAAATGATTCCGACTTCAGCGACTTGACTGTGCGGGCGAGAGCTTGACGACCTTCCGGGGCGGCTCACACAAACCACTTACGCGGCACACCTGGCGGAAAGAACAGATGCTCACGCCCGATTTTTGCCTGATTGGTTTGGATTGGACCTTCTTCTCCCCTGAATGCCAGCTCCCCACCCCGCGTAAGTGCTAAGCACCCCCTTCTCCTCCTCCTCCTCTTCCTCCTCCCCTTTCTCCTCCTCCTCCTCCTCCTCCTCCTCCTCCTCCTCCTCCTCCTCATGATCATCATGATCATCATCATCATCATCATCATCATCATCATCATCAGCAGCAGCAGCAGCAGCACAATCATCGTCATCTGCAGCAGCATCATCAGCATCATCATTGACATCATCATGAACATTAACATCATCACCACAACCACAATCATCATCATTGTCATCATCATCATCACCACCATCATCATCATCATCATCATCATCATCATCATCATCATCATCATCATCAGCATCAGCATCAGCATCAGCATCAGCATCATCATCATGATGATCATCATCAGCTTCAGCATCAGCATCAACAGCATCGGCATCATCATCACTCTCCCCACTCTCTCCCTCGTCATCCCCTTCCGTCCTTCTTCTCCTCCCTTGTCAATTTCTCGTTCCCGGTAAACTTCAAACATTGAATGATCGATGTGTGGGTGATCGCGTAAGTATACGGTTGATATACTCACCGTAATTATCCCGCACCGTGCCTCTGGCAGCTGTGCTGCTGCTGCAACCAGACTTGTAATTTCTTAAAGGCCTGGACCGCAAATTTCCTGGGCGCATCTGGGCGCTCTTAGGCGTTCCTGGGGTGTTCCGCGTGGGCATCCGGGACGGTTGTACCGCCCCAAACGACCCGGAGAACTTTGCGGAGCCCCCCACCAAGCGCCCAAGACGGTCAAGGAGCGCCTCTGGACGGCCCAAAAAGCCTCGAAGACGGTCCAAGAGGCCACCAAGAGAGCCCCAACAGCAAAAATCGTCACCTCTCCTTCGGGAAACATATATTTTGTAACAGATTCGCCTCTCGGGCTTTCACATCTTCCAAGACGGCCCCAAAGGTCCTCAAGATCGCCCCAAGACGGCTCAAAAGGCTCCCAAGAGGGCTCCAAGACCGCCCAAAAGGGCGCCAAGACGGCCCAAGAAGCTCCCAAGACAGCCCCGGAACCGCCCCAAGAGGAGGCCCACACGGGGAACCCGAACGGACTGTTCGAGCCTTCGGCCCCAAGACGCCCTCAGGAGGCCCGAAAAAGCTCACAGGAGGCCCCAAGAGGCCCCCAAGAGGCCCCAAGAGGCTACCAAGAGGCCCAACAACTGCTTCCCAAACTGGCCCCCGAGAGCGATCCGAAGAGACCCCAAGAAGCATCCCTGAGGACTCTGACCCACAAGCCACGCACGGTGGCGGGATGGGTGGAAGGCCATTACATTAACAAAATGGTTGCATTATCTCTCACTGTGTCTGAGTACGTCATACTGCGTTCCGCTCAGCACGCTTCCTCAACATGATGAGGTTTCCGAGCAATGAACAATCGATTCGTTAAGTAGTTATTAAAGGATAAGGCGTAACAATACCATAATTATTCATACAATAATCTCAGATAATGGTTGAATCAGTTCCTGCTGTTTCTCCAAACCTGTAGCAATAAACAACAGCAACCTAAACAGTTGTCCGTCATCGCTCATAGCTTCCCCCAATCACAATAAGTATTGGTATAACGATCTCGGTAATTCGTTTTGTATATCATTTTGTCTTTAGTCCGCTGCTCAGATGTCAACTGGTAACACCTTGTAGGATTCTGAACAATTTTCTGAAATAGTTGAATTATGTTTCAAACATTGAGCTTCTGAGGGCAAGTTGCGGCAAGCATTGAGCGCATCATGTGTGCAACTTTTCCAAATTGCGGGCCGCGAGCGTCTGTGAGCAGAAATACCG